GCCACCTTGAGATGGTTTACAAATGACAATATGATGTCTTAAAAAAATATACAATCAAAAACTTGAATTTCATTGTGGTTCAATATATGTGAAGGAAGGGAAGGAAAGAAAAAGAACCTTTGTGAACCATCCATAATTACAGAAGGACGGATAGCTATAGGAGGCACTGCAACGTTAGTAATGATGAGATTATCAGGCCTATCTGATAGAAAGAGTAACTCACAGTCCTGCACAAAGGAGGATGTCATGAAAATAAAAATGGAATGCAATGAAAGTAAAAGGAAAATAATATGCGTCACACCTAGAGAAGTTATGCAATACACAACTCATTTCAATGGCCACAACGATCGAAGCAAGYGACATTAGTGAGTTTTTTTTAACAGGAAACAACTTTTCATTGATATATATGAAGAGAAATAAGTGTCATTGATGAGTGCGTTAATATAAAGAAGATCCTAAATACTATCAATGTATACCTCATCTGTCATCCTTTTAAAAAGAGAAAGAACTCTAAAAGGGTTCAAAATATCATTCGACACATTATAGGGTGCTCTAAGATCCTCTGATACCATCCCCGCATCCTTGGATTTCACACGATAATGTAGTATTCCCAACATAGATACAGCCTTCTTCACCGAACCTACAATAGAATCATAAAATATATGGCTAATAATTATTGATCTCAAAACCAGAATGTACACAGCTGTCATAAAGACATTAAAATCAGCCACATTCACCTCAATGATACATGCTCTACTCTAAAACGTGTTCTCATAATGATGGAAACACATATTAATGAAACCTTTCTTTCATCAAAATATATACAAAGACTTGCACTAATATGCAAATTTCTTGGACACCTTAAAATGCAATGCATGCTGACAATGCCAAATAACATCCACKTATACACAGAGATCTAAGATAAAGAGCACTTAAAACATTTTTAACCCAATTCTAATCCAGTATAAAATTGTGTTTGTAACAGAGCTCACAGAAGAAATATAGGATCCCATATTACCCACAAGAAAGGAAGTACAAAATACAGCAGACTTTCAAGAGGTTTACACCCTCCCCACTTCCTACGACTTCAATCTTCAATCATACCCTTTTCTGTCCAAAAACATTTGCACATCCCTACACATTCTATTACAGTGTTTTTTGGTCAAATGCAGTAAGTGCTTTTAAGGAGGGGAAAAAGGCACAGCTTACTACATCTTTATGGTGCCCTAAACAGAAGAAATTTTTTCTGTAATTACAACTTATCTTTTATCCTTCAAGATTGGAAGGCCTTAATGTTAGAGATTTGGGAGTGGGTCTTTCCATCCCCACCTTTAGGTTGTTTCTTTTATATTGTGTTAATATATTCGTTTCTTATCTTATATAATCAAATCGTTATACATCCGTTTCTTATCCAAAAAAAGGAAGAAAAAATAAGGGCACGAAATAGAAGGCAGATGAGGAGTTTTAGAGATGCTAATTTTTTTAAGAGATGAGGCAGATGAGGAGTTTTAAGCGAAAAAACAAAAAACCAAAAAAAAAACCAGTCAGTTTTCTGACCTCGGAAACCAGTCCTATATGTAAGAAGTTAAAAAATATGAAAAACAGGATATATTCCATCAAGGACAGCAATTGTAGCTTGTCAGCAATCTCACCACTCGTTCTAACACCTAAAAGGAGCTCCATCTGACTGAGGGGCCAACTTCTTGTTCCATTGGGCTACCAACGAAGACTTGTAGTACGAGTGTAGCTTGAGGCAAACCATGTCCTCAACTTGATAGGTTGCACCCCTTCAATGCTTGTCAGAATCTCTTGGGCCTTGTTGGCAGCTTAAGTTTAAGGTCACTGACAACTGTGCCTTGTTCTTGCAACAACTGATCTATAGAGGACTACTCATATCAGATCAAAGGTAGTGGTGGTGGCTTGCCATATATCAATTTCGAGGGAGTGATTTTAGTGATGACATGGTATAAGGTGTTTTATCAATATTCTACCTGAGTCACTCATTTAATGTCTTTGGTTTCTTAGAAGCAAAGCATCTCAAGTATGTCTACAAACATCTATTACCTACCTCATATTGTCCATCCAAGTTGCAAACATGGTGCTTCACTTGAGACTAGTCCCTTGTAACTTCAAAAGCTCCAACTGGAACGCACTCATGAACACAGGGTTAGTTGTCCCCATTAAAAACTCATGCACCCTTATTACCTCTAATTAATAAGCGAGATAGCTTCGGCTCCTTTCTACATAGCAATTAGCCCATCCCTCCCACCAATGTAGCAATGTTCTCCATTTTCAAAACCCTTGAAAGCTCCTCAACCCACCATTGGTAGTGATGTAGTGTTTTAGTTGTTATTTTAAGGTTTTCCTTTAAGATGTAGCTTTCAAGCTTTGTTCTTTATTTAGTTATTAGTTACTACACAGTAACTAGTTTTTACTGTTTTGTGAGTTGTTAGCCAAACTCTATAAATAGAGGCTGATCTCTTAATAAAAGATATCTTTCATTCTCTTCAAGAAACCATTGTGTTTGTACATCAAGTTGGTATCAGAGCACCCAAATTTCTGGGCACCAAATGGCGGGAAAAAAGTCGATCACCGATGACTCTTCCCTCATCAACAAAGAAATGGAGCAGCCCTCCATTCTCTCGCCACGATCGTCAGCCGAACGCTTGCTGTCGGTTGAAGGGGAGGTGAAAGCCATCCAATAGGATGTTGGCGAGATTAAACACATCTTGGAGATTATACATGAGAAACTTGATGCTTTAAGTGTGGAACGATCCCCGGTCCGACGCACCACGGGACAACAAGAAAGATTGGATCAAGAAGTACAGAGGGAGGATCGAAGACATTTATTTCAGCAAGAACAGCAAGCCGATCCACCAAGAAGACCACAAACAATCCGTTTGGGTCCAAGAAACCTCCAAGAACCACGACATTTCAATCAAGAACTGAATCAGAATCCTTTGTTTCAGCGGCGGACTGAGTTCAATGCGGATTCTTCCAGCGAGGAGGAGGAAGAACTACTTGCCTTTGAAGGTGACTGGTTTGGTAGAYATCCTAACCCACATAGAAACCAAGATAGTAATGAATACAAGATGAAAATTGATCTACCTATGCTTAATGGTAAAATGGATATTGAAGGGTTTCTTGATTGGGTAAAGAATGTCGAAAATTTTTTTGGTTACATGGGAACACTTGAACATAAGAAAGTAAGACTTGTAGCATTAAAACTCAAAGGTGGAGCTTCGGCGTGGTGGGATCAGCTGGAAATTAATAGACATCGTTATGGTAAAAAACCCATTCGAAGTTGGGAACGCATGAAGAAACTCATGCGGGAACGCTTCCTTCCTGTTAATTTTGAACAAATTTTATATAATCAGTATCAAAATTGTAGGYAGGGATCCAGATCGATTGYTGACTATTCTGAAGAATTTCACCGCTTGGGAGCTCGAACAAATCTGTTGGAAGGACAACAACATCTTGTGGCAAGATTCATTGGGGGACTACGTTCGGATATTAAGGAATAGATCGCCCTCCAACCAATAGGTTATTTAAATGAGGCCATCTCTACGGCCACAACAATTGAAGAACAAGTGGGAAATAGATCTAAAAAACAGTACACCCGAAGGACCAATTGGGAACAAGGTGGAACTTCCAAGAAGCCTACTTCGACGGGTGACAACATTTCCTCTCCCAACCATGCCGTTACTACAACAAAAGGTAAAACTCTGGACACTGATTTAGTCAAGTCTAACCACACTGATTTGGTGACAGGAAAGAAACAGGGCAATATATACCATCGCCCTACATTAGGGAAATGTTTTAGGTGTGGACAAACCGGTCATTTATCCAATGAATGTCCGCACCGCAAGATAATCAATATGGTCGAAGAGGATGTCCTACAAGAGGACAGCAGTGAGGAAATTGTTGATGATATTGATTATACGGCACCAGACGAAGGTGATATCGTTTCATGTGTTCTTCAACGAGTGCTGTTAACTCCTAAGACCGATATTTCTTATCAACGACATGCTCTCTTTCGGACTAGGTGTACTATCAATGGCAAAATCTGTAATGTCATAATTGAAAGAACAAAATACAGCAGAGTTCCAAGAGAAATGTAACCTCCCCACTTCCCAAGGCTTCTCATATCCATTTCTAATATCACATCACACAACTTATATCCTACCACCCAAAACATTTCCCAGATCCCCTACAAATTTTGATTAACAGAACAATAAAATGATCACACAACTAGTTCAGAAGGTCAAATTTCCAACAAGATTAACGAGCATGTTCAAGTATGGTTTCAATTTTTTTTTTCTTTTTTGGATAAGTATGGTTTCAATTAAGTTGGAAGAATAGAATTCTGAAGTAAAGGGTTAAAAAATATGATAACAATCATGTCATGGGCCCTTCATTGTTATTTATACCATGAAGATTGAAAGCTATTTTGGAGTTAACCATCATGAATGATGGCAGAAGTTCCAGCTGCTCCAATTCGCAAAGGAAGAGAGATATAATTACTTGCCCTTTTTCAGTTTATGAGAAACCAGACTTTCATTGAGTTGAATGAAAGAACAACAAAAACTAAATAAAAAGAAAGATGAAACCAAAAGGGAGATATAATTACAAACTCTGCTATATATTTACAAGCTCTGTAAAATGCCACATCTTCCTATATTGTGACTTTGCAGCAGTTTTTTGGGAGGCATCCTTGTAAGCTTTTGGGTGGTCTACAGCTCTTCCATGACCCTACTCTTCTCCCATGGCCACTCGTTGAAGAAGGAAAAGAAGCTTCTTTGGATGAACTTTGTCGCGGTCTTTTTCTTGGAGTACTTGTATTGAAAGGAATAAGAGAATCTTTATTGAAAAGGAGATTTTGTTAGGTTTTTTGATGCTATRGTTTCTTTAACTATTACTTGGTGTAAATATTCTCTTCTTTTCCATCACTATAGCTTCTATTTCATCTTGTTGGAGAGGTTTTTTTAACTCCCWTGGATTGGGATCTTTCCCCTCTTTCGTAATTTCATACTATCAATGAAACTATTTCCCATTAAAAAAATGGAGTTCAATCAATTATAAGCCCACTTTTATGCAGGTGCAAACCAATCACATGGTTGAGATTCAAATAAGAAAATGAAAGATCACCACATCATGCAAGAACACATGAAAACAAAGTGGATTGCCTTTTTATTTTATAATCAGGTAAATCATGCATGTGCATTTGCAAATCGATTTTAGTTGAGTATGAATTCACTAGTCCCAAACATAGCTTAGGTAACAAATAAAAACAAGCATCCAAAAATTAGAGAAGCCTTATAAACAGAGGTGAATAAATTATAATTGACATATAAATGGGGCTTAGCTCGAGTCTACATCAAAATAAAAGGTGAAATCCAAACCATTTAAATATCCACATCTGGAGCATTTCATGCTTTTATTGCTACTTGTCAAGGTAGTACACTTCTTTACGATTTTTTTCGCAAGCTCACACTTCCTCAAGGCTTCCAATTTAGGATTTCTCATCTTCCTCAAGAAGTCTTTGTAAAGCTTCTCTTCCAAAAGTATACGAGAACATGACTGTAGAGAAACTTTAGACATGAGAAATAATATTCCAAGAAAGTTTGCACTAATCCAGGGAAAGCATTTCACTTATCTGTTCAATACCTTGCAAATGCACTTTAGAATTTCCAATATCGTAGTAAAATAACCAACATTAAAAACAGGGAGAGCAAGACTCAAGTATCCATAATGTCCTGGGCAGTCACCAAAATTGGCATGGCATGTAGAACATTTACATCCCTTATTTGCAGGACCCTGACACACAATCCCAAGAGGAAAAGCAATCATTTAGAACAATATTTTTCTGAACAAATAATAGATAGAGAGAGAGAATGAAAATATGTAATAAATAAAGTCGTAAAATTTGCAATCACGGCCCCAGCATCAACCATGAAATTAAAAAAACCGATGACAGTAATTTCAAGTTTTTTTYYAAAAGAGACAGACTTCCATTAATGAAAAACGGAAATACAGCCAAAAGGTAGAGGGAAGAGAGATCCCTCAGCCAAGGAGGTATAAATTGATTAAAAAGCTGCTATAATTACAAAAATCTATATGAATGGCACGGCAATTTGAGGCCATAAGCTGATACATTTTGCCAAATAACATTTGAGGACTTAAACCATCGTTGAAGATCCTATTGTCTTTCTCTAACCAAAAAGACCAAATAAAATCCCTAATATCACTTCTCCATAATATTCTAGTTGTTTTTTAGCCACCATCCTGAAAGCACTTCCAGAAGTCAATCTTTTCTGTTTTTTCGGGGCAAAGTTGAGGTCAAATAAACCAAAGATAGAGAGCCAACCTTTGACCCCAAAATCACAATGAACAAAGAGAGGTTGGTTTCCACATCCTTTCTACACGAATAACAAAACTGCAGCATAACTTAGACACAAGAGTTCCTTTCTGCAGGTTAAATTTGACTCCTTTAGAATCCTCACAAAAGAGGGGGCAAAGCAAAGGTTGTTGCCAATGCAACATAAGTTTGACTTCTGCAGGTTCCTACGATGCAACTAAAGAAGATAGAGAAAAATGTGGTTTTCTTGTAAGAGCCATCTAGATGCTCTCCTCTCTCTCTCTATTTTTGATATTCGTGAGTGTCCAAACCAGCTTACACACACCTCGACTAATCTCACGAGGCAACCGCTTGACCATACAACATTTGGTATCGGGAAACACATTAATTTCTAAGRTAGGTGGCCATTATGGGGTTTGAACTCATTCCCTCTCACTTTACACTAGCCCCTTTGAACCAATGACTACCCAAGATGGTTTTCTCTCTTCCTTTTTTTTTATATGAAACAAATATTTCATTGATGGTATGAAATATACAAAAGGCCTCAAAGGCAATTACAAGAAAGCTCTCCAACTTGTAATAAGATCATGAAGAGAGTAATTGTTGAAAGGGGTAGAAACAATTACACACCAACCCAAGGCTAAAACAAGAACTCTATCAAAAAAGTTTCCAAAAGAGAGGGTTTTATCATTGAAAACCCGACGATTCCTTTCTAACCATATAGACCATAAGAAAGCCCGAACAATTTGAACTCATAGAATAGCTTTGCCATGTTTGAAAGGATGGTCCRCCAAAAAACAATCAAGAATAATGGTTGGATGCGAGTGACGGACTGTAGACCATCCAAAAGCCGAGAGAACACTGCTCCAAAAACGTGTGGCAAAAGGACAGAGAATAAAGAGGTGACTTTGTGTCTCTTAATTTCCAAAACAGAGGTGATAGCAGTGGGGGAGAGTGATATGTAAGGGTGCTTCCTCTGTATTCTGTCATGCGTATTTAAAGCCCCATGGCTGGTTCCCAACAAAAGAATTTGATTTTCTTGGGACATTTTCTTTGGCATATACAAGGGTAAAGGGTGGGAGCTGATTGGGCAGGGTGAGTGTTGAGAAGATTGAAGGCATATTTAGTGGTGAACTCTCCCGATGGCTCTAGGGGCCAACTCCAAATGATCCTCAAGAAGGGGGGGCAGATCGGGCTGAGCAAGACAGATAATTGCATCCGTTCTTCAATCTCCTCCTCTTTAAGGGGTCTGCAGAAATTATAGTTCCATGAGGAAGTAGTTCTAGACCATTGGTCTCCAATTGTAGCTCCCACATTCATTGCTAGAGTGTATATATTTGGAAAGAGAGAGGCAATGGTGCCCTATGCAAACCATCTATCATTCCAAAAGCTGATTTGGCTACTCTCTCCCGCCAGACAAATGGCTATTGCCTTTACGAGGTTGGTTTGTAGAGTGATCGCAGGCCAAGGTCCTTTTAGAATTGGATGGCAGCTATAGGCAAAAGAGTTGAGAGGGTTCCATAGTACTTTGCTGAGATAAGTCTTCTCCATAGTTGTTTAGGTTCGGTTATGTAGCGCCACACCCATTTTGAGAGGAGAGCATGGTTCCTCTGTTTAATGTTCCCAATGTCGAGACCTCCTTCATTGATAGGGAGCTGTGTGCGATTCCAATTGATGAGATGGGGCTTGCCGTTGTTTCTTGGTCCTTCCCATAAGAAGTCTCTAAAAWTCTTATCCATCTTCTCTACCGCTTTGCCAGATATTTTGAAAAGAGACAAGAAGTATGTGGGAAGGTTCGTGAGGATGGATTGAAGAATGGTATGCCTCCCCCCTTAGAAATGAATTAGAAATGAAGTAGTTGTTCCATCTACTAAGCCGAACATGAAGCTTCTCAATGATTGGCAACCAGAAAGCTTCCTTTTTTGGGTTACCGTTGAGTGGTAATCCCAAATAAGTGCATGGCCAACTTCCCGATGAACAGCCCCATGCTTTGGTGATTTTGTTAATGGTCCGTGTGCAGATAGAGATGCCAAATACACTGGATTTGTTGTAGTTGATGTTGAGACCCGAAGCAATCTCAAAAAACTTAACAATCTTGTGTAGGTTTTTGATGTAGAAGGGATCCTTTTTGGAGAAGAGGAGGGTGTCATCTGCAAAAAGGTGATGATCAATTCTAATCAAGCCACAATTTGAGACATAACCTGAGATATGGCCTTGTTCTTCTCCATGATGAAGCAGCCGACTGAAGACATCAGTGATGAGAATGAAGAGAAAAGGGGAAAGGCGGTCCCCTTGCTCAAGCCTCTTGTAGCAGTGAATTTGCTCCTCGGTTTCCCGTTTATGATGATGGAGAAGCTTGTAGTAGAGATACAGGCCGTAATCCATTTCCTCCATTTCTCCCCAAATCCTTTGTGAAATAGGATTATATCAAGAAAGT